ACAGGAGGTACTGACGGAAGGCACCCTGAGCTGGTCATAGGGTCATGTCCAGTACATTCGATACTCATGATACCTGAGTTCCTGCAGCTGCTGTTCCTCCTCCTGCTACTGTTGCAGCTGGTACTGGTATTGATACTCGTACTACTCGTACTATCAGTACTCTTGATACTTCTAGTGCTACTAGTACCTCTAGTCCCACAAGTACTACTACTACTACTACTACTACTACTACTTCTATTATTATTACTTCTTCTACAACCACTACTAGCACTACTGCTGCTACTACTACTACTACTACTACCACCGCTACTGCTGCTGAAAAACAACAACGACGACGACGACTACTACTACTACTACTATTATTACATTGTGCCTGCAAACTAGGTGCGCTATTTGTTTGTAAAAAGCTTGCTAAACCTGATGTAAACTTGACAGTCTTGGGGGGCTCAAGATTATCTTGCCCCAGCCACGTTTGCTCGCCGACTCGTTTACCTTTTGAAACCAAGATTGCAAGAGTGCTTGCAATCTTCCCCCCCGCCCAGCAAGTGGGGCAAGTGGGGCAAGATTGCAAGCCTGTTACGCAATCTTGGTCAAAAAGCGAGTCTGGTCTGCAGGCACACTGTACTATTATTATTTTTACAACTACTACTACTACTACTACTACCACTACCACTACCACTACCACTACTACTACTACTACCACCACTACTGCTGCAGCTACGACTGCTACTGCTAGCTATTACTTTTTCTACCTACTACTTACTACCCATACTACTACCTCACTACGACTACTACCGCTACTGCTGCTACGGCTACCACTGCTACTACCACTACTGCTACATACTGCTGCTGCGACCACTACTACCACTACCACCTACTACTACTACTACTACTACTACTACTACTACTACTGCTCCTGTGCTACTACCTACCTCTGTACCACCAGCACTACCACCAGCATCACGGACCCACTCACTCAATCACAGCTACGACGATTTGCGATGACGACGACGACGATGACGGCGATGGCGTCAGGCTGCTACGACGACCTTAGTGGCTGCAACAATACATCAGGTCAGAACAAAGCTGGCATGCGTCTGCCGTTGCATCGTTCAGCTTGCATGTGTTCACAGCAGACAGGTAAACCTGTAAACAGGATTCCTTAAGCAGACCCTCGATTGGACCATCAGTGCTGCCAATGAAAACCCGCGCGAGTGCTAAAAAAGTATATAAGTAATATTCCCCTTTTTGCCCTGCACTTTGCCTCCTTGCTAGGGATTCTCCGCCACCTCGTGGAACAGCTTCGGTCACCGATCACGCCTGTGCACGCTCAGCGTGTGGCAAGGGTGCTGCAGGCAGGAACCATTTCCGGCGTGTAGGGTTTCGGGGCTTGAGTTCGCCCCAGGTTTTCCAGAATGCCCGATAAATGGTAGTGCAGGAACGGGAATGATCTGCACAACTCCTCAGGCGTTGCTTGTAGCGGGCTGGGACCAAAAGGCCTGGCATTCCAAAGCCGGTTGATGAAGCCACTGGCCCTGAAAGGCTATGGCACGGTTCAAACGGACAGAAATGGAACTGGAGCTCTCGCAAGAGAGTGGGCAGGAGCTGCTGAAGCTCGGCCAATAACAGAAGTGGAATGAAAGGGTTCTGGCTGCAAGACTTACTTGACTCGGAAAGGCTGGGGCGCCCCGGACAGAAGAGATAAACGTTTCCTACATGCTGCGAACCGTGAATGTGGAACTTGCTCGCAAATCCTGCGGTCCCTCAAAGCTAGACACCACATCTTCCACATGCTCCTTGCGCGATCGAAACAGCGGAAGAGCGGCGAACCGGCAGTTTCCGTCAAGTACTCATGCAGGAGACCCAGAAACGCATAGCCACCTAGAACGCTAACAAAGAACTAACTGACGGAGATGCTTCATGCCATTTCCCTTTATGTCACGCCGCTCGTGTAGGCATGCCCCACATCTGAAGAGTGGCATCTAACAAGAGCAAAGAGGCTCTTCATGATGCACTGGTACGGACTGGGATGCCGGTCTGCGTACCTGCCGAGGCCAGCCATGGCCAGCCCAAACTACCCTCAAAGTCAGATGACGGGTCCCGAGACCGTTACAGATTCTGAGCACAGAGCTTGGATCTATCCAGATACGAACAATCACCACCGGTCCGAGGCTGCGGATCGATGCACAAGCAATGTGTGTGTGTGTGTGTGTGTGTGTGTGTGTGGGGGTGTGGGTGTGGGTGTGGGTGTGGGTGTGGGTGTGGGTGTGGGTGTGGGTGTGGGTGTGGGTGTGGGTGTGGGTGTGGGTGTGGGTGTGGGTGGGGGTGGGGGTGGGGGTGGGGGTGGGGGTGGGGGTG